CGCCACCTCCCTCACCGCCCTCGCCACCTCCCTCCCAGCCCTCGCCGCCTCCCTCCCTGCCCTCGCCGCCGCCCTCCCCGCCGCCCTCGCCGCCCTCGCCGCCGCCCTCGCCGCCCTCGCCGCCGCCCTCGCCGCCCGCAGCAAGCACCGCCTCCTCCCACGCCGCGGCGGCGGCGGCAGCGAGCGACTCGCGCGCGGCGCCCGTCCGCTCGCGCAAAAGCCCGAGCAGCGCCTTGTCCGCCACACCGAGGCAGCACAGGCCTCCGAACGACGCGCTCGCAGACCGCAGCGCCACGGAGGCATCGCCGAGCCGGCCAGCCTCGAGCGCGGCGTCGAAGCCCTCCAGAGAGACGTGCATGCGGGACAGCGCCTGCAGCACGGCGCTCACCGACTGCGCCGATGCGATCTCCTCCCGGAGCCGCCCGCGCCGCGCAGAGATGCCCTGCAGCCGCTGCTGCAGCGCCTCGTGGCCGACCGACTCGAGCCCGCCGCGCAGCTGGCGGAGGCGCTCGGCGACGCTCTCGCCGAGCGCGAAAGTCGTCTCCATCTCCGGCCGGAGCGCACTGACGACCTCGACCATCTCCGCCTCGGCGGTCTCGATCCGGCCGCGCACCTGGTCGAGGTGCGAGCGGAGCGGCGCGCCCGCGAAGAGCTGCTCCGGCGCAGAGCCCAGCGTGTCGCGGAGGAAGGACAGCAGCGCCTCGGACGCCTGTGTCACCTTCGCCTCTGACATTTGGGAAATAAAAAGAATCCGTCTCAGGGGTGTTGCATAGGCGGGGAGTCTCCCCCGCTGGTCTCCTCCTTCCCATTTTTTCTTTTCTTTTGAGAGCAGGACGCCGGGTTTGTCTTGTATGTGCATGTCGGGCCTGGGTGTGTGTGAGGGGCCGAGGGGCGGGAGCGTGCGGGGCAGAGGCCCAACGTCGGGCGGCTTGTCGGTGCACTGACGGTCGGCCGTCAGAAAACACGCCTCCGTGGCTCGGGTTACACCAATCCTCGCTACCCAAAGAAAGAAAGAAAGAAAGAAAGCAGACAACCCAAGGGAGGGATGGGAGGACGGCACGCCGCCACCACACAGGGATTTTAAGGAGAGGTGTGCGCTACCCAACGCGCCAAAGGAATTCCACGGAATTTACTTTTTGGCCAAAATCGCGGCGCCCGCGTAAAAAGGCGGCGCTGCAGCGCTCGCCGCCAGCCCGCCCCGTCGCCCCACAGCTGCAACCCGCCTACAGTGAGCGGCAGCACGTCTGCGCGCCATGGACTGCTGTTCCTGCAACAACAAGAACGAGATCGTCGAGCCCGCCCCGGCGGCCGATCCACCTCCAGAGCCAGCGCCGGCGCCAAAAGAGCAGGAGAGAGGCCGCCGCCAGGAGAGAGAGCGAGAGGAGAGAGGCGCGCTCGCGGCTCGCTGGAGGGCGGATCGCTGGCCGCGTCCGCGCGTGTGGTCGCCTGGCGGGACGAGTCAGCGGTGCCGGCGCGGCCCGCGGCGCTTCCCGGGAGAGAAAGTCAGCTCTCTCGGGTGCTTTTGGTCAGGTGGTCTCGTTCGGGGCGTGGACGTCGGACGCGGACGCGGACGGCGTCGCCGACGCCGGCGCCAACGCCGGCGCCGGTGCCGGTGCGAGCCAGGAGTGGCTCAAACTCAGCGAGGAGGAGCCGATGTTTTACGGGAGCGGAGGCGCCCTCGACGATGATTTGCTATTTGCCCGAGTTATGTGCTGTTGTGATCGTATGCTCATGGGTGCGGAGGCGCGACGTCTTCGGCCGACGACGCAGCGGCGACGTCTGCAGCGGCGGTGGGCGAGGCGGCGGCGGAGGCGGCGGCGGCGGCAGCGGCGGGTGAGGCGGCGGGAGAGGCGGAGGCGGAAATGTTCCCCTCAGACCAGTATCCAGGCAACTCGCGCATCGACGCAGCCTCGGAAGCGGCTACTGTTGGCTGCGTGATGACGCGTCTCGGAGCCTTCCTTCCCCCAGGCAACTTGCGCATCGACGCGGCCTCGGAGGTCCGGGCGGAGCTTGCGGCGTTCAACAAGTGGAACAACGGGCGCGCCTCGAGAGGTGGGGAGAGGTGGGGAGAGGTGGTGAGAGGTGGGGAGAGGTGGGGAGAGGTGGAACAACGGGCGCGCCTCGAGAGGTGGGGAGAGGTGGGGAGAGGTGGGGAGAGGTGGGGAGAGGTGGAACAACGGGCGCGCCTCGAGAGGTGGGAGAGGTGGGGAGAGGTTGGGAGAGGTGGGGAGAGGTGGAACAACGGGCGAGGCCTCGCCGCCGAGAGGAGATGTGGTCGGGGCCACAGTTGTGAGAGAGATCGCCACTGGCAGGGAGTGGACGCAGATTCGACATCGACGCCGTATCTCCCCATATCTCCCCATATCTCCCCATATCTCCCCGCATCTCCCAGGGAGTGGACGCAGACCGACATCGACGCCGTGAAGGAGCAGCAGGCAGCGGCGATGGAGGCGGAGTACGAGGCATCGTGGGCGCAGCACTGCCTGGACAAAAGTCGAAGAGCAGAATGATAGTTCGTACTCGAGCATAATAGG